AATCACTGTAATGATAATGACATTGATCAAATGAGAATACTATACTAAACTTGTTAGCTTATGAAACACTTCCTTTTTCTAATGATTTTTGGGGTCAGAAAGTTGGAAAGTGTAGAGCTTGGCATTTACCTCTGTATTTTTTCTGATAACTAACTGGCTAGAATGTTCACATTGTCTATGGTCTGGGACTTCAGCTGGGAATCACGTGACACCCCTATTTGGCTGTATAGTGTGATAGTCTCATGGAAGTAGAACCTCAGCCGGTGGATGACCCTTGAAGAGTGTCCTAAGATAATATAAAGCAAATGTGTGTCTCCCAGTGTGAATAGTTTGAGGAGTTATAGAGTGTGGTTCATCTGCTTCTTTCTGATCAACAGAGAGATAGGGAAGGCTTTCTGTGCTTCTAGTGGATAGGATATCTATTTCTCCTATTCCTGGGGAAGAGAAGGGAGGGAGGAAGGGAGGGAGGGAGCAGGGGAGGGAGGGAAGGAGGGATGGAGGAAAGCTCAACCCTTTGCAAACTTTTTAAAATCACCAGAGAGTGGGCAAAAGCTGAGAGGTTCTATACTCATCACAAATAGAAAAATTCCTTAAAATTCTCCAGGTAGTTAACCATACATAGTTGATTTAGGGCCACACAAGGAGGCTAAGGAAGGTAGGCTTGGATGTGCCTTGGTGAAAGGCAGTGAGAAATCCCTTTGATTGTGTGTGTTTGTGCTCTGGGGTCAGTTGAGAAAAGCAAGCATGGGCCAGTTACCCATAATGTCTCAGTCCCTACTATGAATGCAGTGGTATCACATTGATATGTTGAAGGTGACCACAGCGGGGTATTCACACCATAGAAATTCAAAGAAACTAAAGAAAGAGAAGGCTCATTTGCTTAATGCATAGCAGCACAGTGTTAGCTATCTAAAGACGCTCTGGATATGACTAACAGAAGTTGTTGTAGGATAAATATATTTAGAAATGGGCCCATTTCAGAACAGATCATGAAAGGAGTGCTCCTAATCATGAGAAACTATGGCACTCTCTGGACTTCTGAAGAATTCAAAACTGAGAATCTGAACCAAGTTTTGTCTCCAAGCGGTCATGATGTCTTCCTGGATACTTGTTTTTGTATAAATTCTTGTTAATTTGTTTCAACTTCTCACTTACGTACATGAGTAGGTCTTACATGGATGATAATTAGTATGGGAAATATTTAAACATTCTTTACAAAAAAAAGAGAGAAATCGTTTAGTTTTAATGATCTTTAGATACCACATCTCTAGAAAGTAGCTGAAATAGCATTCAGTGGTGTTATGGGGACAGGACATGTAAGATTAATAAAGAATAGCAGGAGGTTAATACCAGCCTTGTCTTCAGGGGCCCTTGGCCAGATGTGGAATGTAGTGTCCATGTTCATTGTAGCTGGGGAGAAAGGGATGATAAATCCACAGGGAGAGGGACTCTGCTTAGTGTGGGGGAAGAAGGCTATCGAAGACTTGGCAACCAAGGCTGAAGTGTGGTTGACTTCCACCTCCACACTTCTGATTGTCTGGATGCAGTTCATTCTTAATTAAGGTTTATTATGAAAGACAGCAGGTGGCCTTTCCAATGGGTTGGAATGTACATATTTTGTGAATTTATAAAAATTTTAAGGTTTGTTATTTTTTGTTTTTGAGATTATAACACAATCACAACATTTCTCCATTCCCTTTCCTCCCTTGAAAGCCCCCCCCCATGTACCCCTTGCCACTCTCCTTCAAATCTGTGGCCTCACTTTTCATTAATTGCTACTGAGTGCATATATGTATGTACATGCTTATTTCTAAATATAAACTGCTCAGTCTGTGTAATGGCGGAAAATGTACAGAATTTGACAATATGCTATAAAATAGTCCATTTATGTATTTTGGAATTAGTGGATTATGTCAGTTGCCATGTGTGGAATAGACCAAAAATGTGAATTAATATATTTAAACTGCAAACAGCCATTCTTATTCTGCTTGATTTAGGGCCATACCTGGAGTTCATGTGAAGTGAAATTTGGGTATAATTGTATATCTATTGCTAATATTTATTTAAATATTTTTATTCTTTATCTTTTGTGATACTGAAGACTCATATTCACAGACTTACACAGGCCTGGTAAAGACTGCTACTGAGTCACCTCTCTCATTATTCTTTATAAAACAACCACCCCTGCCTTTCCCACAATCTTTAAATGTGATGAAAGTCTTCTATATGTTATCAGACAGTGAAATGGAGCTTCTTTATCAGTGACAACTATCAGCCAACTTATTTTAAATTACAGAGGAAACAATAAACTAAGTTTAAAAATCCAGATAGACTGGAAAGATGCTAAATGTACCACACACCATCATCACTAAACAGCAGTGGCTAATATTATAGCATGTGGAATAGATAGGGGAATCCAAGGGGGGGGGGAAGGAAAGAAAAAGAGTCTGTAAAATTGCTAGATCATAGTCACAAAAAGATGAAATTTTATGAAGAATTAAAGTTAGGGTAGGATTTTACTAATAAATGCATGTGTATGGTTCTGTGCCCTGTCTGCTCAATACAAACCATGTATGTGTCTCAAACAGCTCTGTCATAGCTGTGAGCTATTATCCTGATATACTTATGTTAGAGAGGTTTGTAATCATCACTGTCAATGAATTACAGTCCAACTGAAATTTTACTATAATTGGTTTAGCTATTTTATATTATGCATGTATTGATTTCAAGAATGTATTTGATGAAATTTCCTTGCAACACAAACGGTGAACATGGCTAACACAACCTATAAGATCAATGAGCAATTGTGGTATTCCTGAGTGAAAAGCATTCAAAACAACTAAAGGAATTTAACTCAATGCTGTGCTGCCCTTAGCTATGTGTTTGTTGGCAAGATATTTTACTTGCATTTCACCATAAATATAAAAAATCAGCATTTGTCTAAAACATGAATGCAACAATATATCATTAATATATGCCAGGATATCAGTTACATCAAGGTACTTGACTACATTTATTAACTTTATTAATATTGTTATAACTTTAGAAGCATATCATTCCAGGCATGGTGATCCAAGCCTCTATTCTCATCACTTGGGAAGCAGAAGTAGGTGGATATCTGTGAGTTCAAGGACAGTCTAGTGGACAACCAAGGCTACATAGTGAGACCCTGTCTCATAAAAGCTCCCTGCCCCCTCCCCCCAAAAAAGCATATAACCAAGGTGTTCTTCAAAGTGTTTGCGTAAGTCATTATTCTTGGCAGTCATGAAAACAGATGTTACTCATTCACTGCTAGGCACCTGCTTTTTGCATCACAGCTGAAAGTTGTGGATTTGTTTTCTCATCGAAATCCCACTAGTTAGATTTTTTGGAATAGTTAGGGGATGCAACTTTAACTTTAATACTGTTCCTCAGTGGAAATAAACATCCTGCTTGTGACATTCCAACATGTGTTTAGTTGCAAGTAGCCAAAGTTCAGAAACCAATTGCTTCTGTTTTTTTTTTAATTATTATTATTTTTATTTTATTTTTTTTTATTTAATAACTGATAGCTTCAGATTAGGCTCCCTTCAAAGCTCATTGTCATGACACCCAAGCAGGATATGTAAGATCATATATTATATTTATATTCACTTTCGACATTGACTCCAACTTCAGGCTGGTATATAGGAAATTGCTGCTATTTAAAGAAACAGATTCGGAACAGCCATGAAGGAGGAAGTGTAGCAGCTTTGATAGATGAAAAGTGGCTACAAATTCAGCTTCCTCCCACCCTCTGGCTTCCCTCCTTCAGATGTGTTTTCTGTGGTGGCATCAGCTATAATTAAACGCCCCCATATCCCCTGGGTATGTCGTCTCCCTCCGGTGCTCTGGCCATGCAGTTTTATTTCTTTACTATTCATTTTGTTCTGGCCCCCCACGAGCCATGTGTGTCACAATATCTCCATTAATAAGGCACTGAAAATGTTATTGGTGTTCATCCATTATTACATGGATTGATGGTTTTTGGTGTTTATTTTCCTAGCATACCCTTCTGGATTTGGCCATTGATCTTAAAGTGTATCTTCTTTCCTGCTCTCTTGAACTATCTATTGTTCTTGGGTTTCTTCCAAGCTTAAAGCACATCTTCTTATTCATTCTCAGAACATCGCATAAATGTTAATTTTTCCTGAGATTTATCATGATCTTTTATTATTTTCTGTCCTTCAAAAACCTCATTTGCTCTGATAATGAACCACAATTTGAATAATGAAAACTACCATACATCCATGTCCTATGAACATATTTTTCTTCCATTCGGAAGCTTCTGTAAAATGATTTGCTGTGATCTCTACCTGGTCATACTGGTGTTTCAACTTCAGCTGGCCACAAGTTAGATACTTTCCGTTGAAATCTCTTTGTTCTTGGGGGCTGGAGGTATGGCTCAGCAGTTAATACGATATGCTGCCCTTCCCTTGCAAAAGACCTGAGTTTGTTTCCCAGTGGACTTCCAGTGCCCACTTGACACAGCTAACAATTTCCTGAAACTTCAGCTCTAAGGAAGCCAACACTTTCTTTTGACATTCATGGACACCTACACTCACATGTACACATACATATATACATAATGAAAAGTAGTACTGCTTATTCTTCTGCGTTCTCTACCTCAATTATGGACATTGATCAATAATACCATTGCCCACAAACACCTATGCTCTACCTGATGATTGTTTGTTCATTGTTCTGAACTGTAACTCTTGTGCACCCTTGCCCACATTCTGGTGAAGCTAAAATGCTGTGGAGCATTTGGGCATCAGAAGGTTACATAGGTCATTTATGAACCACCTGTTCTATTCCATTAATACTTTTTAAATGGCAGCCTTGATCTCTTGAAAATGTGAATTTGATATTTACTAACTTTGCTCAATATGTTGTATTGAATATTTTGTAATTGCAAAACCTTGTTTTAAAGAAATTTTAATTATTATGTACTTTAAATTTTTTTTGTCTTCCACCAATAGAATGTTTATTAGGAGATGACCACTGAGATTGTAGTGTGTCTTCCACCAACAGAATACATATTAGAAGATGACCACTGAGATACAGTATGTCTTCCACCAATAGACCGTTCATTAGAAAATGACCAATATCTGACAAAAACAGAATTCTTAAGGACAGTTAAACTAATTTCTTCATCAGTTTCTGAAATATGTCAATCAATTAAGGTAAGAATGCTATATTTTAAGTCTAAACTGATACTCTTGAGCTTCTTTTGGCAAATATTAAATTTACTTGTACCTATACTTCTATATTTTTAATATCATCATTAGAGTGGGATCACACAAAATAATGAAAGGAGTTCATATATTGCTGGGTTTTATAACTGCAAATGATATTTCAGATTTTTTTAAATTTAATTTAATTTTATTTTACAATACAATTCAGTTCTACATATCAGCCACGGATTCCCTTGTTCTCCCCTCTCCCGCCCCCTCCCCTTCCTGCCAGCCAACCCTCCATTCCCACCTCCTCCAGGGCAAAGCTTCCCCCAAGGACTGAGATCAACCTGGTAGACTCAGTCTAGGCAGGTCCAGTCCCCTCCTTCCAGGCCGAGCCAAGCGACCCAGCATAAGACCCAGGTTTCAAACAGCCAACTCATGCAATGAGCACAGGACCCGGTCCCACTGCCTGGATGCCTCCCAAACAGATCAAGCCAATCGACTGTCTCACCCATTCAGAGGGCCTGATCCAGTTGGGGGCCCCTCAGCCATTGGTTCATAGTTCATGTGTGCTTTCCCTGTTCGGAGATGACATGAGAGTATACTTGAGTGACCCCAAAGATTCAACCAAGGAACTGATACAGCTTATAAACACCTTCAGCAACATAGCAGGATACACGATCAATTTATTATTATGTACTTTTAACAATGCCCTGCTGTTGTGTGAATAGTTATATAACCAACAAGTCCATGTCTTGAAATCATAACCTCCAAAGTAATGGTATCAATATATGGAGGCTTTAAGGAGCGAGGTGACTCTTATGTGATTGGGTTGATATAATTGGATTATGTGATTCTAGGGAGTCCAAAAAGATATGTCACCTGTTTTACTATGTTAGGACAGTATGAGAAAGTGCTGTTGTCCAATCAGGACACATCACCAAAATCCCAATGATAACACCTTATTCTTTGCTTTCCCATCTTTCACAACTGTTACAAATAAATTGATTTTTTATTTGTCTTTCACTGTAAAGTATTTTGTTATGAGAATACATATGTATTTGGATCTAAATATGATAAAGAAATGTGGGAATACTGTTGTATAAGAATAAATGTTTAGAAGTAACTTTATACCTGGGTTATTAGAAATATTAGAAACTGGAAGGATCTTGAGGTACAAGGGATGAATCATCACATTGTCCTAAGGGAAGCCTTGAGAATATCCACTAGGAAGATTTGGTGTGGACTCTGAAATAAGACAGCTGTAGAGAACATGTTACTCTGTCTCACACTTACACATGAATGGCTGTCAACTGAGCCATGCTTTGAGGCTTAGACAAAAATAAAAAAAAAAACAGTTCTTTTCTACATTTTTAAAATTGAAAGTAGATATTTTTTATATAATATATTCTAATTTCAGTTTCCCGTCTCCTCCTTCCAGATCCTTCTATCTCTCAACTTACTCATATCCACACTCCTCTCTCTCTCTCTCTCTCTCTCTCTCTCTCTCTCTCTCTCTCTCTCTCTCTCTCATTAGAAAACAAACAGGCATCTAAGAAAAGAAAGAAGAAAAGAAAAAGAAAAAGAAAAGAAAGAAGATAAAATAAAACAAAGATAAGTGAATAGGATAAAAGACAGATGGACAGAAAGAAAAGAACTGCCCTCCCCCCAAAAATAACAAGAGAAGTATAGACTCAGGGACACACACATTAATGTACACAGAAATCCCATAAAGACACAAAATCAGAAACCATAACATACAAGCAGAAACCTTGTAGGAAAAAATGCATGGACAAAGCATTTGAGACAAAAACCTTCCAAAAATAATTCTGAGTTCATTTTATGTTGGTCATCTATTGCTGGGCATGGGGCCTGATATTTTTACCCAGTAAGACCCCATTAGAAAAAAACTAATCTTTCTTTTGCAAGTGGTTATCAATTGGAGATAGCTTCTTGGTTAGGAATGAGGATGTATGTCCACTTCCCCACATGGCACTGAAACTCCATCTGGCTTTGTCTTGTTCAGTCTGTGTGTATGCTGACACAGGCTCTGTATGTTCCTATGTACATCAATCATGTTGTATCTAAAAAGCTTGTTTTGTGTTTATTTTTGTTTTTAGTGTCTTTCATCCCCATTGAATCTTACAATCTTTCTTCCATGCAGTTCCTTGAGCCCAAGGGGAGGGATTTAATCTAGACAATATATTTAGTATATTTAGCACTGAATGTTCCAGGGTCTCTCATATTATCTTCACTTTTCCCAGATATGTGTCTCTGCATTTGTTCCCTTTTTTTTTTTTTTTTTTTTTTTTTTTTTTTTTTTTTTTTTTTTTTTTTTTTTATAAGACCATTGAAAATTTGAGCAAGCGCCTTTTCCTGGAACTCACTTGGTAGCCCAGGCTGGCCTCGAACTCACAGAGATCCGCCTGGCTCTGCCTCCTGAGTGCTGGGATTAAAGGCGTCCACCACCGCCCGGCATTTGTTCCCATATCTTTCAGAGGAAGCTTCTCTGATGATGGTGGAGAGAGGCACTAATCTATGAGTACAGGTGAATGTCCTTAGGACTAATTTTGTTATATTTCTTAAGTGGAACAGTAGTATTTGGTTTTCTCCAAGGTAGATGGCTTATCTAGTCTCAGGTTCTTGGACACCTGAGCAGTGTCAGGCATGGGTTCCCCCTCATGGAGTGGGCCTTACGTCTAGTCATATAGTGGTTGGTGACTTTCACAAGTTCTGTGCCACTATTACACCAGGATATCATGTAGGCAGGTCAACACTGTAGACTGAAGGCCTTGTATCTGGGTTGGTGTTTACCTTTCTCCTCTAGTGATATACAGAGTACTTTCCAGTAGCATTTACTCTCATTGGTAGGGTGAACTATTTATTGAATGCTCTTGAGCTTCTGTATGAAGCTCACACTCACTTATTGTGGGGCTCCAAGATTTGCCCTTTGTTGGCTTTTACTGTGTGAAAATCAGTAAGATCGATAAACCCTTAGCCAAATTAACTAAAATGTGAAAAGTGAGGATCCAAAGATCCACATTAATAAAATTAGAAGTGAAAAGGGCGACCAAAAAGTAGGCACTGAGGAAATGCAGGGAATCATAAAGATATACTTTAAAAACAAAGCAAAACAAAGCAAGCAAGCAAACAACAACAAAAGCAACTGTAGTCCACAAAATGGAAAACCTAAAAGAAAGGGATAAGTTTTTTAAATACCAAAAGTAAATGAAGATCAAATAAGCAATTCAAACAAACCTGTGACCTCCAGGGAAGCAGAAGCAGGAATTAAAAGCTCCTCCATTACTGCAAAAATAATTTCAGGGACAGACTGACTGAGTGCAGAATTCTACCAAATTTTCAAATTAACATCAATATTCCTCAAATTATTCTGTAAAATAGAAACAGGGGGAGTGTTGTGTGATTCTTTTTAGGAGGCCACAATTACACTGATACCTAAACCACAAAAAGACCCAAGGAAGAAAGAGAATTACAGACCTTTCCTATGTGAACATAGATGAAAAAATCCTCAATAAAATACTTGCAAACCAAATTCAAGAACACATCAAAAAGATCATCCACCATGATCAAATAGACTTTGTCCCAGGGATGTAGGGATAGTTCAACATGTGTAAATCTATAGCTATAATTCATGTTTATAAAGAGACTTAAGGCCAAATCCATATGATCATCTCATTAGATGCATATAAGGCCTTTGAAAAAAATCAAACACCCCTTCATAATAAAAGTACTAGACAAACTAGGGATACAAGGAACATAACTTCAAATAATATAGGCAGTTTACAGGAAGCTCATAGCCAACATCAACCTAGATGAAGAGAAACTCAAATCATTTCTGCTAAAATTAGGAACAAGGCAAGGCTGTCCACTTTTTCCATACATATTCAATATAGTACTTGAATTCTTAGCTGGAGAAATAAGACAACTAAAGGAGATCAAGGGGCTAGAAATAGGAAGGGAAGAAGTCAAAGTCTTCCTTCCTTCCTTCCTTCCTTCCTTCCTTCCTTCCTTCCTTCCTTCCTTCCTTTCTTTCTTTCGTTTGTTCGTTCTTTCTTTTTTTCATAGGACCTCACAATTGGGCAAGGGGAATTCATGTTTTTTAAATTATGACAATAAAGTGGAAGGTTCCTGTATCTAGCCTGATGTTTGTGGAAGGTAAAATTTTGAGTGGTTAAAATGAATATTTTACTGAGGTAATTTCTATGTGAAGTTCTGCAGAAGCAGCCTTGTTCCTTTTATCTATTTAAGGTAAAAGATTTAAAAGGAGAAGTGATTTTTTTTAAAAAAAATGGACTTGTTATCCATATGAGAAGCAGTACTTACATATTAGAAAAATTCTCAATTTATTATTATAGTTTTAAACAAGTCTCAGAACAGATATCCAAAGAAGTAGTTTCAACAATGAGAGCATACTAAGGATGTGGCCAAATGACATCTGAGAAGAAATAATGGTTATTAATGTGGTTGCCACTAGGAATGATTATAACCATCTGATTATGCTCCAATGCAGGGAAATTCACAGACTCATATCTGCAGTCCTTGAGACCCTCATTGTAAAAAGCACCCAGGCAAACTATGGGAGAAGGAGCTGCCTGGAAGCTTGAGAGACTAATACTTGGCAAAGTTGTAGAAGCACCCTACCCCTGTGTACATAGCATGGAACTTCTTTCCAAGGGTGCCAAGAGGTTCAACATGAACTCAGAAAGTATTAATCATTAGCCTTAGTGGTTAATGTTTTCTGTGCTGGGCAACAGAACAACCAGGGACCTATTTATACTTTATATTTCCAATTTTCCTTTTTTGGAATGGCATTATATTTCCTGTGCATCTCTCTCTCTTGTGTCTAGAAATGCATGACATGTTGATCATGGGTTCATAATTGCTCCAGAATGAATTGTAACTGAAAACTGATTCATATTTGATTAAGGTGATATTTTAGTGCTACTTTTAACATTTGACCCTTGTCTTAATAAGTAAATTAAGGC